GCTCATATTACTTTCAGTGTACTTCATGTATGTATAGCTTAAGGATCAGCCAGAGACTTGGACAGAGGTTATACACGTCATTTTAGTTTCTCATTATTTGTGTCTCTCTTTTCTGGGGTTATGTTTCACCCTCCAGACTCCAACTTTGATTTCTCTGATCAGAAAGATGACAAAAATTCTAATTAATAATTTATTAAATTTTATACATATAAAACTATATATAGATAGTTTTAGCCAACAAGTTGTTGCCTAGACTGAGACATCCTGCATAATAACAGGACAAAAATGTCGGCCAGGCATAGTGGCTCATGCCTGTAATCCCAGCACTTTGGGAGGCCAAGGCGAGTGGATCACCTGAGGTCAGGAGTTTGAGATCAGCCTGGCTAACATGATGAAACCCTGTCTCTACCAAAAAAAATACAAAAATTAGCTGGGTGCAGTGGCAGGCACCTGTAATCCCAGCTACTCGGGAGGCTGAGGCAGGAGAATTGCTTGAACCCAGGAGGTGGAGGTTGCAGTGAGCTGAGATTGAGCCATTGCACTCCAGCCTGGGAGACAGGCTGTCTCACAAAAAAAAAAAAAAAAAAAAAGTCAAACCCACCTCATCCTGTCACATTCTCTAAATTTTCTCATCGCCTTAAAACCTACCTGACTTTGTTCACCCTCTAGAACCCTCAAGTCATTCTTTTTTTTTTTAATTATACATGGTTTATAGTTGCGATTTACATGTGGATTGATTTATTAACAGTTTATTTGGCTTGCCAAAAGTAGAACTCCATGTTATTCCACTTCAAAATAAAATAAATATCTGATAACACATTCATTTACAAAGGTCCTCCCAAGTCTACTGTACTTATATCCAAAAAGAACCTATCATCTATTAAAATTACTTTCATAGAAAGACATAAGATACATATGTTATATTTGGGTTAATGGGCTTAACTGAGAGCCCTAGCTTATAAATTAATACGTTATTTATGAGAGAATATGTTATTTATGAGACAACACCAAGTCTTGGGGCACTGTATTTAAAAATTAATAGAATATGACAAAATAAAACAATATTTTTGAAACAATCCTTAAATGAAAATATAGTACAACACTAAATCTATGTAACTGAAGCTTAAAAAGTCATCAATTACAATCTTTGTTTAACCTATAGAATCCCCCAAAACAGAGAATAGAAACAAAACACAGTGCTATGGGATATAAATATAAAGAAGTCTCCACCATATCAGCGTGTTCCAATACATGAGCTATTCCATGATTTTATTCTCTCTTTCATATAATATTTATGTTTTACTTTATCTTCAAAATAATAAAGCTAATGCTGAAACACAAATATACAAAGATAGCACATAGATTTCAACAACTTGTATTTTCAAGTTACTATTTTTGGCCATTTTTTATACTATATTCACCTGTGTTTTGCTAAATCACTAATTTTATAACTTGTTTGATCAGAGGCAATATTCAAATTATTCACAACTGGTACTTCACAAATACACACTTATAAGAATAAGCACTAAGGATGAACAGGAACTATGTTTGCATTGATATATAGCAATGTATTCCAGTGTGAATTAATATGTTCTGTTTTATTCCAGGTGATTATGGGTTTAGATCCTGCCTATGCCAGCCTTGCTACCCTAATTGTAGATTGAAAGAATGAATGAGACTTATGATTATAGTACAGTGGAAATACAAATAATACAGCTAAGTTTTTGACAAAATTGTACCTAAGCAGAAGTAGAACATGTGTAAGAAAAGTATGTATAACAGAAGTAGCATATATATGTTTTGAAAATACGTTAAGAGGCAATTATGCAAGTTTTGGAGCACATTGCTAGATTGACAGAGTATCACTCTGTCACCCAGGCTGGAGTGCAGTGGCGTGATCTCGTCTCACTGCAACCTTTACTTCCCAGGTTCAAGTGATTCTCCTGTCTCAGCCTCCCAAGTAGATGGGACTACAGGCATGCACTACCATGCTCGGCTAATTTTTTTTAACTTTTAGTAGAAATGGGGTTTCACCATGTTGGTCAGGCTGGTCTCAAACTCCTGAACTCAAATAATCCACCCGCCTCGGCCTCCCAAAGTGCTGGAATTACAGACACGAACCACTGCGCCCTGCCACCTTTTATCATTTTCATTAAAAAAATTTTTTTTTATTATACATTAAGTTTTGGGATACAGGTGCAGAACACGCAGTTTTGTTACATAGGTATACATGTGCCATGGTGGTTTTCTGCACTTATCAACACATCATCTACATTAGGTATTTCTCTTAATACTATTCCTCCCCTAGGCTCCACCCCCTAACAGGCCCCAGTGTGTGATTTTCCCCTCCCTGTGTCTATGTGTTTTCATTGGCCAACTCTCACTTATGAGTGAGAACATGCGGTGTTTGGTTTTCTGTTCCTGTCATAGTTTGCTGAGAATGATGGTTTCCAGCTTCATTCATGACCCTGCAAAGGACATGAACTCATCCTTTCTTATGGCTGTATAGTTATTCCATGGTATATATATGCCCCATTTTCTTTATCTGATCTATCACTGATGGGCATTTGGGTTGGTTCCAAGTCTTTGCTATTGTGAATAGTGCTGCAATAAACATGTATGTGCATGTGTCTTTATAGTAGAATGATTTATAATCCTTTGGGTATATACCCAGTAATGGGATTGCTGGGTCAATTGATATTTCTGGTTCTAGATCCTTGAGATATCACCACACTGTCTTCACCTCATAATGGGTGAACTAATTTACACTCCCACCAACGGTGTAAAAGCATTCCTATTTCTCCACATTCTCTCCAGTATGTTGTTTCCTGACATTTTAATAATCACCATTCTAACTAGCATGAGATGGTATTTCAATGTGGTTTTGATTTGCATTTCTCTAATGACCAGTAATGATGAGCTTTTTTTCATATGTGTCTTGGCCACATAGATGTCTTCTTTTGAGAAGTGTCTGTTCGTATCCTTTGCCCACTTTTTGATGGGTTTGTTTGTGTTTTTTTTCTTGTAAATTTATTTAAGTTCCTTGTAGATTTTGGATGTTAGCCCTTATGCTCATGGATAGGAATAATATCATGAAAATGGCCATACTGCCCAAAGTAATTCATATGTTCAATGCTATCCCCATCAAGCTACTACTGACTTTCTTCACAGAATTAGAAAAAACTACTTTAAATTTCATATGGAACCAAAAAAAGAGCTCGTATAGCCAAGACAATCCTAAGCAAAACAAAAAAGCTGGAGGCATCACGCTGCCTGACTTCAAACTACACTACAAGGCTACAGTAACCAAAACAGCATGGTAATGGTACCAAAACAGATATGTAGACCAATAGAACAGAACAGACACCTCAGAAATAATGCCACACATCTACAACCATGTAATCTTCAACAAACCTGACAAAAACAAGCAGTGGGGAAAGGATTCCCTATTTAATAAATGGTGTTGGGAAAACTGGCTAGCTATATGCAGAAAACTGAAACTGGACTCCTTTCTTACACCTTATACAAAAATTAACTCAAGATGGATTAAAGACTTAAACGTTAAGACCTAAAACCATAAAAACCCTAGAAAAAAACCTAAGCAATACCACTCAGGACATAGGCATAGGCAAGGACTTCACGACTAAAACACCAAAAGCAATGGCAACAAAAGCCAAAATAGACAAATGGGGTCTAATTAAACTAAAGAGCTTCTGCACAGCAAAAGAAACTATCATCAGAATGAACAAGCAACTTACAGAATGGGAGAAAATTTTTGCAATCTAACATTTTATTATAACTTTTACAAACAGTTAAATTGGATAGAGAGTTCCTTCTTTCCTGAAGTTATACAATGATTAATCAAATTGGTCTGCATTTTTTCAGATGCTGAGTCTAGCATATTTGCATAATTTTAAGTCAAATATTCCCATATGTTTTAATAAGCTAAAGCTACATGGAAATACTTAGCCACTCTTAACAAAAATCAGCCTCTCAGATTTATTGTTCAGTATAGTTTATCTCTGAATCCTTGAAAAACAGTGAGCACATACTCAATAAACAGCTGACTATTCAATTAAAATATAAAAATTATTTGAGTCAGAATGGATTCAGACTTTTGTAAGGATTTAGATGATCTCCGCCTGAAGGGTTTGAAGTACCTTAACCTGTATGTATAACTACGATAATTTATAGCCTAGCTATATATGACATAATGTGTGCTAAGCATTTTAAAATGATTGTCATTTATCATAGTCTATTCTCACTGCAAAATAAATATTATTTTCGAGAAATTAAATATTTTAAAGATGTAAAGACATTGAGTCATTTGCCTAATATTATACAGCTAGTAAGTGACTGAGTCCATATTCAAAATACAGGTATGTGCCTAAATCCAGACACACAATGTCTGTCATTCATGCAACAGAATTAAGTGTCCATAATTGTTTTAAGTGTCAAATAATTTCCTTAGAAAATGTCAAAAGATTGTTAAGAAGTCCAAATCAAATATAGGGTGAAAAACACATGCTATTACATAAAAGATAAAATTGAGATTTAAGGAATTCAGATAAAAGTAACACAAGTTTCCTAAGGTTAAACAAAAGCAAATATACCCAAAGTGTCCTCAGTTGAACACTGCTGGAAGTGATTTTTCAAACTTTCTTCTTTGAGAATTTTTAGGACAATATTGAATTATTTGACTCAAACTGGTTCCACTTTCCAATTCATCAATAAAAAGCAATGTAAAGATGGCAAAATAAAGTAGTTGGAACCTAATCTTAATATTCCATAGTCTTTATTTATAAATATTTGAATATCTGCATAAAGAAAAAAGAGAAATAAGATATACACACATACACAAAGAAAGGGTGAGAGTGAGAGAAAGTGAAAGCAACACTAATAAACATTTTAAGCAAGGTGTTATTTTCTCAAAAACAGCATATTTCATCTATCTTCAAAGTCCTTCCCTGGCCTCCAAATCTTTCTTGTCTCATCCTTACCTCCAGTCATCCTTTGAGAGGTTAATCAAAATATTCATTTCCTCATCATCTTGCAGAAGGCGATAGGCTGCACTTAAATGGTGATTCTCCAGTACAGATCTGTCATTGTACAGAATAGCTGGATCAGACCTGAACAGAAAGCCAAGCAAAATTCAGAATGTTAAATAGCTAAGATTTATTTGGGTAGCTCTAGGTTAGAATGCACCGTCATCTTTCCCATGTTTAGAAATTATCTTTGTCCCCATGCCATTTATGTGAACCAAAAGCTCAGTCACTACAAATCATCAGTAGATGAATACAGGGTATTTTACTCTCAGTACATGTGTGGGCAGGAAGTATGTGACATCCAGCCTGAGAACTCTCTAAAAACTGTTTTACAACCAGATCTCAATTATATATTAGTGGCAAAGGTTTCTGTTTGTTTGTTTTTTAAAAATATGGGTCATGTCAAACTTCTTTATATTTTCTGGAATGACATTTTCTTATGTCTTATTTTACTCAACAAACGCACTAGTATACTTATTTTATTTGTAATTTTCAGAACACATATCACCTAGTGGGTACTATCTGCAAGTTGCCTCTGATAGTGGCTTGATATTAAAGTTTTTCCATGCAAAAGCCACATGTGGAAAATTGAGAATAAAGAATATAAAGATTGTAATGTCAGCTTTTAGTCCCTATCTCATACTATAGCTGAATGTCACTAAACATAGGACTGTATATGATTTTAAGATCTTTAATTTAATGAAAGCTTAGATTACTGGTTTCTCACCAAGGAAGCTAAGTTCCAGAGACTTAAAAGAACTTGTTAGAGCTCTTCGGTGGCCAAGTGGCAGGGCTAGGATGAAGGCAAGATCTTCTGACAGTTAGGCCAGTGCTTCCCCAAGATAATTTCAACCTGCCGTTGGCCAAACTTTGAGCTGTATCTATCATACCTTGAAAGTATTAGGCTTAACATTTTATTCATCAAAGGATTAAGGGCCTGCTCACAGACTTTGTTTTCTGAACAGAGATCACACAGGCTGAGGTGCTTTGGATAAAATTCTGTTGAACACAGCCAATGTTTAAATTTCATTCCAAACCAAGCTTAACTGAACACATTGGAATTTTCCCACCCATAGGGAGATAACACAGAACATGCAAATCCCAAGGTGAAAGATTTGCTGTTACATCTGTTGAGTAAGTTAGATACCAACTGATGTGTATTTTATGACACTCTTTTCTAACTCCTGTAATTAAGCCATTCTCCTCTGAGTTTGATACTGGTCTCCAGGCAAGACCCACATACAGTTGTTCAACCCACCTCTCCTCCATGGACAGGTGCTATTCACCACGGTCTCTGTCCTCAGAGCAAAGGTTCCATCCACAGACACATATTGAACAGAGCTACTCTACAGAATTCCCTGTATTAAAGACCTTGGAACAGAACCACACAAAGCTGCTTTTCTGCAGCTTAGACTAAGTGAGGAGGCATGAAGGTGGAACTGAAGCGGTTAGCTGAAGTTCTTTTGTCTGCTTCCATTCAACTAGAATTTCTCTTCTGAACAGAGATCAGACAATATTGTCTTCTATGTGTATGCTATAATTAAGTGTTGAGTTCATAAAATACATGTAGATTCACTTAATGAACACAAACTTACCTAGAGTGTGCACCTGCTTTTTCAAGAGAAATCAGCAAGTATTTATTTGGTGTTAACTCTCATCCCTCCCTGCTCTTTGACTTACTACCTTTCCCTGTATCCTAGTTCCTTTTGATTACTATATCAAGGATAATTAACTAACTCTACTGTTAGTTTCTC